ACAGAGAAACGACGTTTTTTTTTTTCAGTTTTATGTGAATTTCTCGACAGCCCCTTAAGATAATTACATCGTCGACCACTCGTATAAAAGCTGAATGTCTCACCTTTACAACGAGCCTACTAGCATCTTCTTACTGCCACCGAGTCGCCTGCTATGAGCTTTAGAAATTGGAAAAAAAGTGAATAGAATTTGTCAAAAAATCGATGTTTTCAGTTTTTCGATAATAACTCGAAAAGTAATAAACTTTTTTATGATTTTATTGCATAATCAGATGCACGCAATCGTTGCGCAACTTTTATGTTACAAATGTTACGTAATGGTCGTTAGCTAACAGAGAAACGACGTTTTTTTCGATTTTTTTTCAGTTTTTCGTGAATTTCTCGACAACCCCTTAAAATAATTACATCATCGACTACTCGTATGAAAGCTGAATGTCTCACCTTTCCAATGAGCCTACTAGCATCTTCGTAGTGCCGCCGAGTCGCCTGCTATGAGCTTTAGAAATTGGAAAAAAAGTGAATAGAATTTGTCAAAAAATCGATGTTTTCAGTTTTTCGATAATAACTCGAAAAGTAATAAAGTTTTTTATGATTTTATTGCATAATCAGATGCACGCAAGCGTTGCGCAACTTTTTATGTAACAAAAGTTACGTAATGTTCGTTACGTAACAAAGAAACGACGTTTTTCAGTTTTTCGTGAATTTCTCGACAACCCCTTAAGATAATTACATCATCGACCACTCGTATGAAAGCTAAATGTCTCACCTTTCCAGCGAGCCTACTAGCATCTTCGTACTGCTGCCGAGTCGCCTGCTATGAGCTTTAGAAATTGGAAAAAAGTGAATTGGATTTTCAAGTTTTCAATTTTTCATGTTTTTTTCTTTATTACACAAAGATTACGTAACTTTTGTTGCGTTTCATAATTGCGTAAGTTTGTTGCCACGTTTATGAAACTTTCAGCATTTTAGATATTTTAGGATATTTAGATTTTGGTTTTCTCATAATCAAGTGACGGGGATTTACTTGAAGTTGTCAAAAATTGATGTAAGAGTATCAGAGATTCGGTGCAGATTTGTAGCGGAAGACGTACCGATCCAAGATGGTCGTTGTCTACGTGAGTTTATTGGGATGTTTGGTTCTGAGCTGCTGCTGCTTGGTCTTCTTGAGAAGATGCTGCACCTGTCCATTCTGAAGACCGTTTAAACACCATGGGTTCTTCAGAGACCATCATCTGTCCTGTCTTTCTGGTATCATCTTCATGTTGAACGAAATTGCTGCTGTATACAAATAGAATTATAAAAATATTATTATAATTATAATAAATGTTAAATTTGAAATAAATAATTTGAATCGCAAGTGGCTGCTGTCAGAGCGATGATGCTGCTGACATTCTGACGTTTTTTTACTCTTTTGGCGAGGTTGTGCGAAATGAAACGTAAATTTTCAGTTTGAGTTATTTCTGCAGAAGGATGTCGCGGCAGATACCGCGCGCCGGCCCCAGCGGCCGATCGCAGATCATTTCCGGGAACACGAGAGCATCCGGTTTGAGACCGCCGAGTGCGTCCGGTTTGAGACCGCCGACGGCCGGCGGAGGACCGCGCGCCACCTCTTCGATTCTGAGCATAGCGAACAAGGGCGCGGCGAAGAAGCCGAAAGCTTGTAAGGATCGGAAGAAGGATGAGGAGGAGGCGGCGGCGGCTGCCGCGGCGGCAGCGCCCGAACCCGAACCCGAAGTCAAGTTACCCGCGTTCAGTATGCAAGTTAAATCGAAGAAGACGCAGAAGAAAGGTATGAATTCGCGGAGTGTTGTAAGTTGTAATTCGTTATCTTTTGGTTTTGTTTTCTCGTAGAGGAGAGGATCAAGGAGACGGGAAAGAAGAAGATGATGCGAAGGAACAAACCGGCTGGTGAGGATCTGAATCAGATGAAGGAAATTATGAAGAGCATGAAGGGACAGAATGTATCGGTGCAGGAGTTCATCGGGTTGATTTCACCATCGACCGGAGATAATGGTATGTAGAGACACCGCATTGTATGTGCTTGTATGTGTATGATGCGTTATATTTCAGGGCAGCTTCTTCGTGACGTGCTGAACGATGAGATGAACACGTTCAGGAACACCTCGAGGAAGATATACGAGACGATGTCGCAAGATGTGAGCGACGTGCTCACGAATCAGCACATCCAGCTGACGGAGCACAGCCACGAGATGTACAACGTCTATTCGGACAAGATGATGAGAGCGATCAACGAGATAAATCAGTGGTGCCCTGACTTTGATTTCGACAAGTACTACACGCAGGTCGGATACCTGGATTTGAAATTCCCGTTGGCGCAAGGACTGGAGATGGACGAGGATCAGCAGCAAGCGCTGCTCCGGCAGGAGGCTTACCACAGATACCAGTGGCTGAAGACGGAAGGCGAGAGGATGAAGGAGGAGAACAGCAGGTTGCAGGACAGGATGAAGCAGCTGAAGAGGCAGCAACGCGAGGAGATGAAGATGGCCTCGATCAGGGAACAGCAGGCCGAGGACGAAAGGAAGAAGCTGGAGCAGCAGCAGGAGCAGCTAGAGGATAAGTACGTCGGATGAATCGTATCGATTGATTTTTTAAATTGTTTCGTTTTAGATTGGAGGAGTTGAATGAATCCGTGGAGAAGATTATAGTGGAGAAGGAGGTGGCCGCTGCCGAAGAGGTGACGCTTCAGAAGAAGAAATCCAAGTCGGCGAAGTTGCCGAAGCCACGCGGTGAGCAACCGAAGGACGATTGGGCTGTGAGAACTGCCGCCGATATGGAGTCGACCAAGGAGACGACCTCCCTGAAGATGGAAACGAGCAAGGTTTCGCTGAAATCGAAGGCCTCGCGCAGCAGGGTCGGCATCAAGAAGAAGAAGGTTCGAGCGCCGCCGCCGCAGCAGGAAGGATCGCCGTTCCATTATTCTCCGCCGAAGTCGCCGCAGGCTGGTGGAAGTCGTCAGCAGCCGGCCTCGCCGTTCCACTACTCTCCGGTCAAGTCGCCTCCGGCATCTAGGGGTGGTCAGCAGCAGCAGCCTGCTTCGCCTTTCCATTACTCTCCGCCGAGGTCTCCGCCACAGCAGCAACAGCAGATGCAGGATGAGGCAAGGGCCATGTCCCCTGTAAGGACGACCATGCAGACGACGACGACAGTAGAGAATCCGCAGTCGTCGCATCGAGGAAGAGCTCCGCGCGACAGCTGGGGCGGATTCTACTGATCCGCAGCAGGAAACGTTCGTGCATCGCAAACACGTTCTTTTTGAACGACGTGTGGGGTGCAAAACTTTTTTTTTTTTATTCGCCTATCGGGATCGTGTGTGCGTCGCACCCGATGACACCTATCATAATTTTTCGAACAAAATAATTCACCGACCCCCATCCTCCTTCTCCGAACGAAACCTCCCCTATTTTTTGGAACAGATATCGAAATTCTTCAGTTGACTTCATAAGAACGCGCCATGGAGCAGGCCGAGGACCTCAACTACGACTTCAACTACAACATGTTCCTCGCGAAGACGATGCTCGGAAATCTGGACAGCCTAACAGGTTCAACAATTTCCAATAAAGAGTTTAACGAACTCAACAACATCTAATGAGAAACCTGAAAATGTTTCTTTCTTTGCAGATCGACAGCGTGTCGTCAAGTGGATGAAGAAGTTGACGACGTGCAACAAGTCCATCGAAGAGATGAAGCTGCGCAACGACTTTATGTACTATCTCGTCCTGAACGTGCAGAACCGCGAGTTGCGCTCCCCGTTCACAGAATCGCCGCCTCCGGGTCCATTACCACATCTTGCAAATCTACTGGTAAATATGTTACTGCGACTATTTGTTACTTTCATTGCATCAATCAATCTCTTCTCAGCCTGGCGGTTCTACGGCCGCCGACGTCGAAGGTGCCGGCGGATGGGCAGACAAGAGCTCCCACCACGAGGAGAAGCCGATGCTCTATCAGAATTCGCCCGACGGCGGAGCCTTCCTCGCCGCTCAGCCGATCCCCAGGTGCGGAGCCTTCTGTTATCTGGCGGTGGTGAGCAGATCGCCGAAGAAGGCGGAGGAGGATTAAAACTTAATATTTCTTAACAAAATTAACAAAACAAACGAAGACGACCGTTAACAGCACAGGCGCGCATATCACGGTGTTTCCGACGTGTATCTTACTTTTATATTTGTGTGGGCGAAATATTCAGTGCAGGAAAAAAATAACGAAACCATTTTTATTTTATTTTTTTTCTAATAAAGAAAATATGTACTTTTTTTTTTAAATAATATAATATTGTATGTATGATCACATAAATACAAATCATTTCTCCCTGTTCTTTGCGGCGTGCTTGGCCCGTTTCCCTTTCAACCTCTTGTTCGCCGTCTTTCCACTGACGCTTTCCCCCTTATCGAATTTCTTGTGTTTCTTGAGGAATTTGGAACGCTCTTTCTCCTCTCTCATCGATCTCTTCTTCTGCTTTCGCCTCTCCACGTCCGTTTTCCTTTTGAAAACTTTACTGTTTTGCACCTTCTTCGTTGCTTGTTTCTTCAGCGTGCTCTTGATCTCTTTGCTGGACGTGAACTGCTTCTTGGGTTTCTCCACTTTCGGTTTCTTCTTCTCCGTCAGCGACATTCCAGGTATTTCCTCCTCATCCTCAATCTCTTCGTCCTCCTCCTCTTCAACATCCTCATCGTATTTCGGTTTGTTGGGACCTATCCAGTTGTTCTCTTTGGCGATCTCCTCCGGCGACAGTTCCACAACTTTCACTGTGACCTCCTCATCCTCGAACTCCTCCACTTCCCTACCCAATATCTTATCGACCTCCGGAATATCCCTGTGAGAAACCACCAGCTTCTTGTAGCTCTCTTTTGCCTCCAATTTCAAACGTTTGCGCTCTTCCTTCAAGTCCTTTTCCAGTTTATCCTTCGCATACTGCTTCCTCTGCAATTTTCTCTTGTGAAACCCAGTCAAGAACTCCCTGCAATTAGTAACATATTAGACAATTTTACCCTAATATGAATAATATATATATAAGCTTTTACCTACGTTTACCCTCGTCGAACACAATATTCAACTTATTCGATCTGTTCTTCGGCCTTCTGGCCTTTTTCTTATTACCCTCTTCAGCTGCCATGCCTGCTAACAAAATCAAAATACAAATATGCTACACGAAAACATAACCTTAAAAATTGGCATACACGAATTTCAGCCATCTATTGGCGTTCGTGCCAAGGTTATAGTTCAGCACTTTTGGCGCTGCTCTAATTACAACATTTTATTTACAACCTTTATTAAGATTAATTATTTACCAAAATATGCACCACTTAATTTAAGCTCAGTTAGTATCTTCCTATTCTATTCAGATTAATTATTTATTTAAATATGATTGATTGAATAATACATCTAGCGACAACTACAAGAACTAACGAGAATTTAAATTTTTAAAATTATATACTTATACTTTCCTCCTTACTTTCTTACATAATTAATTAAAATTACTAAAATTAATAATAAAACACAGTGGTTGGCGAAATTGTGCAAGATGCAAGAAGAAAAGAAGAAAAAGAACAATAAAACAATTAATAATTACCAATAAACAATATTTTATTACAAATTCAAACAGCAAATATTTACATTTCAAATAAAAAACAATGCTTTTACGTCCAAAATTAGAAATCTGTTTAAGCTGCTAATTTAATTAATTAAACATTAATTCCATGAGAAAATATTGAAATAATTTTCTAAATCGTTACTTACTTGGGTTACTTTTAACTACATTTTGTAGAGAGTCAATCTTAGGAATTTAAAAAAAAATGTGAATTTGTAATTTTTAAATCAAAGTAGGTTCTGAGTTAAACAAATGTTGCGTATGTCAGTTGTGTCAAATGTGAAAAGTTAGAAGTGAATTTTAATTGTGAAATATCCTAGAATATTTGTGGATATTAATTAAGTGAATTTCTTGCTGGAATGTCTGATTAATTAATTTGTTTGTTTTTTTACTGGTGTCGTGTCTGGAAATGTGTAAGTTTTGTTTCAAAATCATCTTCTTCGTGTCGTGTTTCCAATTAATTTGATTGGTTTAAAGTAGTCATGGTGATTGGTTGTTTCTAAAAAAAAATTTAAAGAAAATAAACAAACAGACGTATGTCCTTGGTTGTGTCATATGTTTGCTTTGCAGTGTGTGTTGTGTCGTGCTTGTTTTTAAGGATCTGCGCTTTCAAGAGTAGCCTTATTTATTGACTAAAACTTTCTATTTTTCGCCTAAAACAACAGAAACTTTAGCCGGTTAAGCTCCACAGCGGAATCAATAGGACTGCGGCGATTACGTGGTGCGAGATTGATGATCTGTGCCCGTCGTTGCGGCCTGACTGCGGACCAATCCCGGAAGCGTAGCTGATCACGTGAGCAACGTAGGTCTGCTCGTGGACGGAGTGGAAGAGGTGAGCCATCGGACCTGCAGCAAATCAGAGAAGAGAGGTAAGTCCTTTTCTTGAGGAGGAAGCAACCAATAGGAGGAAGCAACCTGTGGCGTAGACGAGAACGTCTGATCCCTCGTGCGCTACTTCATCTGTCAGAATTGCAGCCTGCTGAGCGTAATTGATATCATCCGTGTTGACGAGAGCGGGATTCTCGCGCGCTACAGAGGATTGATTAACGAAGAACTTGTAGTTGTCCGGACCGCCGGTGCCGTAGAGCAACGTGGTGTACGGCACCCCATCGAATTTGGAATTCTGGGCGATTCCTGAAACAGATTCGTCACTGTAACTAACTTCGCGCAAGTTGCGTTGGTTGCGTAAGCTGCACCTGTTATCGGGACGCTTCTGTCCGCGTAACCGCTGATCACCAGAGGATGCGAATGATCGCTGGTCACGATGATCAGAGTTTCCGAAGCTTTAGCTTTTGTTAATTCCAAGGCGCGTTCGATGGCATCGTTGAAGGCCATCGTTTCGCTGAGAGCTTGCTTCGCGTGTCCTCTGTGATGGGCGAAATCGATCAATCCGCCCTCCACCTGTAACAATCACTGCAATTATCCCGAACCTTCGATTCCGGTTTTAATTGAATACCATCAGCAAGAAGCCGTCCGGGTTTTTCATCAAGTTCTTGATCGCAGCTTCTGTCATGTTGCGCAACGAAGGCATTCCCTTGGGTCCTTGATCCCTCTCGTGCTCCATCTTCAGATGTCCGTTGGCGAACACTCCGAGCAGAAACTCTTCCGAATGATCTACACCAGCTAATTCTTCGTTGTTCTGCACAACTCTGTGCTTGAAATTGCGTACGTTCTTGTCGGCAGTCCAATCGGCGATCAAATCCCTTCCGTCTTTGCTGTAGCAGCTCCAAGGGTCTATAGGGTCAGCATCGCTTCCCACCACGTTGGATTGCAGATTTTGTCTGCCTCCGCCCATGATCACGTTGATGTCCCTGCCTGGGAGATCCTCAACCAATTGCCTGGCGATGTCCTTGCAGGCGGCCGCATTTTTTGGAATCTTGTCCTCGCATTCCCAATTCCTGTTTGAGGTGTGCGCGTAAAGGGCGCTCGGTGTGGCGTGTGTTACTCGAGTTGTCGTCACGAAACCGGTGCTCTTTCCAGCCTCTTTTGCCCATACGAACATACTGTCTATAGTGTTTTCCGGTTTCAAGGAAGCTTCGCAGTCGTCGACAACCACCCGGTAATCCACCCCAGACGTCTTCTGGTTAGCTTTGATTCCGCTGAAGAGGGCCGTGGCTGTGCTGCAAGAGTCCGGCACTATTTTGTCTGCTGAATATGTCTGAAAAAAAAGTTTCAATAATCTATGAAGTTGAAGTTTACACTACTCACCTTAAGAGTGCCTATGTTGGGAAAGTTTTCGAAAGCCAAACGTCCGCGCTCAGTCTTTCCATAAATCCTAGCTGCAGTCACCGTGGACAACCCCATACCATCCCCAACGAAGAGTATCACATTCTTCGCGATTCCCGTATTTCGTTGCTCTGATAAAGCCCTCAATATATCTTCTCTTCCCAGATCTAACCAATATCTATGATCTACAAGTAGAATAATTATGCACAAAAAAAATCATTAAAAATTCTGAACTAATTTTTTTTTTATCTATTTACATTAATTTTTGAAGTAAAACAAAATAAAAATTTATTAAAATTGTAAATTCGCAAATGACGCAACATTAATAGAAAAACAAACAGAAAACTTGAAATTATTTTAATCATTCATCCATGGCGTATGATTAAAAACATGCTTAAGTGCGTACGTTTCCTGGAAACGTTATTAACATTGTTTTGTACACGAAAAAAATAATAAATTTTTGTATTTCAGGGATAATGAAAGAAAAAAAAAATATATAATAGAAGGAAAGTCAATGATTTGGCGTGTGAATAAGTACAATGAGAAAATAGTATATAGTAATCTTTTTGTTTTTTTTTTCTGTTGCTAGGATTATTACATTCTTTAAAAATATTGAATGTATAGATTGTTTTTATTGGTCCGGGAAAAGTTAAAAGATTTTGTTGTTTAATTTTTTACATAATTTTATATGAAATGTAACTGTAATTAGTGTGATTCATTTATATTGTAGCTAAATTATGTAAAAATTTAGTGTATCTCATAACAGTTAGTGTTTATTAATTATTTGAAATCTGTAATTCGGACAACAATGAAAATGGATGTGTTACAATAGTCAAATATTCAGCTTTAATTAGAGTATTTAGTGTTGATTGTAGCTAAATTCAATACTGTGATATTTAAATAGTTAAAATTGAAATTTCTAATCAACATCGGAATTGTTTATCTAATAATATATGTTACATTGCATAATAATTTTCCGACCTCGAGCGTTTAATTAAATTTTTGTATTGGAACACACCAGGTACATTTCAAATGTAAAGTTGAGCACATTCCGAGCACGGAAATGGGGCACGTGTAATAAGCTGGTATAAAGAAAACAAATAACCGTGAACAACAGAAGTCGGTGGAAAGGTAATCTTTATGGTTTGATGAGACCGCGCGCGCTTGTATTTACAAATTAATGTAATTAAACGCGATAAAACGGAAGGCTGGTGGGTAATTGAAACATAGTCGTCGTCGGAATGAATGAAATGTATTTCGATTGGATGCGAATTGAATTAGTTTAAGTCCGTTGATTCACTGACCTTCTGTTACGTGATCTGCGCTTTGGGTTGCTGCGATCGCGAGGTTGAGGACCTGCAGCAAGATGAGACACGATGTCCATCTCGATGATGACGATGGTGATGGCGAGGACGACATCTTCGTGGGAATGCAGGACCGGAGCGAGCGGCGCGCGCTTTTTAACAGTTGAGACTGTAGTGAGTGTTTGTTGTGTGTATTTGTGTGTGTGTATGGGAGGGAGAGGAACGGTCTTATCGCCGTGATATAAACCTAATTAGACTGCACCGTGATCCATTAAAGCCGACGGTAATGAGACGGTAATTTGCTTGCCTCTCTTTACGTTCGTTTCACTTAAATTTTGCGGACGCTCGAAAATATGTTATTTGCAAAGGTTTAAAAGATCATCACCATCGGAGATTACAAAAAGTTTGTACATGAACTCTAGCATGATTTTTAAACTACATTCATTTAAATTACCTTTACTTTATAAAGGTTAATCTTGAAGAATTACATTGGCATAAAAAATACTTTGAAAAAATCACACTTAAAGGAAACATCTTCAAATAAAGTTGTCATCTATATGTTTGGAACGAAACTAGTTAAAGCTTTTCCAATTAGAAAATTTAGTATTGAATTTTCATAATTTTCTTTCTATTGAATTATTTAACATTTGCAAAACTATTTCATTTAAAAGTTTATTAATCATTTTGAATTGCAAGAAGTTTCATAAGTACTAAGCAATCATTTTGACTATTTAAACGTTCCGTTATTTAAACACATACATCTTATCAGCAGATTCCTCTCGCACCGAAAAAAAAACTGATTTTATAAAGATAATTGTACTTTAATGTTACTTTCTACTGGCAATTACTTGGACCATTTCTAATCATTGTATAATGTTATTCCTAATTACATTTTAATATTAATTTATTATTAATTAAACACATTTAGGAATTTACATTAGAAGAGAATTGTTTTAATTTGAATATGATTTTTTTTTCCTCTTTTAATTGGCGCCAGTAAAATTATTATTTCACATAATTAGCAATTAGTTTTTAAATATTTTTAGATAAATTTCGATGGTTACAGTTAAGTTTTTGTTTCTCATTAAGAGCTATTTTTTATTTGAATATTTAACTTTTTTTTGTTGGAAATAGAAATAATTACCTTTTGTTAATTGCACGCGACGTAATTATTTTTTTTGTTGTTGTTGTCGTAATAATAATTATTTATAATTGAAGCGTTGCTTAGAGATTAAGTTTTTTAGTGTTACCTAGGAAACTATAGATTTTCAATTGTTTCTAGTCGATCGAATGACACTTTTGTCTAGGACAATTGAACGAATGCATGGAAATTAAATGATATGTAATGGAAAATAGTTGCGATTTGCATGAATATTCAATAATACATCCATTGAAAACAGAATTGGCTCCAAGGACGTGCTGTTATTGTCTTGTTGGCACGGGCCAATTTTCTTTGTTACATTTTGCAACAATCCAATAAAATAGTTGACCTAACCTAATTTCATCTGATCATAATAATTTGAAAGCTTACACTCAAGAGTAAATTTAACGTTTACTTCGAACTGCGCAGTTTAATATTCAAATTCGTTACGAAACAAAAGAATGTTTATAACAATTAAGTACTTTTATTATTAATACAATTGTAACTTTTATCTTGTCGATTGTTCTTTAGAATAAATGGAACTTTTGTTGTAGTGTAGCATAATTTACGATAGTATACAGTTGTCGATTTCGACTAAGTCTGCAGTTAAGGATTGTTGTTCATTGCGCTGATGGGTATATAAAGTGATTAAATTGTGTCCGGAATTATCAATCGAGATGATGAAGTCGATCCTGATTGTTGTCCTTTCCGTAGCTGTTTGCTCCAATGCTGCAATCATTCCTGAAGAAGAGACAATTTACTGTACAACAGAATACAATCCAGTCTGCGCCTCGAACGGGGCCATCTATTCGAATCCGTGCTGGTTCTACGTTGCGCAGAGCAAGAATCCCAGTTTGAAAATCGTTGCTTACGGAAGGAATTGTGCCGAGATGAGACGCAGCCAGCCGATGATATGCGCTTCAAATGGTCGATTTTACGAGCCAGAAATATTCTTCATGCTGAAGGAACTTAATGGATTTACTGAGAGGCCGTATTCATATTGCCTAAGATTCGGATCATTACAATGAATGGTTATGAAATTATTAATGTAAGCGAAAATGTTTTTTTGGAAATCGAATGAATCATTGAAATAAATAACTATATTGCTATTAAATAATATTAAAAATAAATGTAAAAATAATGATACATGATTCTATCCTGATGAATGATGAGTCGTAAGACTATAAAACAGTAGCTGCGGAAAGTTTTAATATCGTTGTCATGGCGATAAGTGCACTGACTGTTAATTTGATGGGGATTAAATCCGAATTAATGTTTACTCAAATTAAGCAAACATAAGATTTCATTGTATTTGGATTTTTTGTACTTAGCGAGTGATGGGTATAAATGAGGTAGGAAGTGAACAGAAGATACAGTCCAAAGATGTTCTCCAACTTGATTGTTTCCTTGGCGATAGTCCTGTGCGTAGCCCAGTGCGGTCAATGCCTGTACAAACCATGCACTCTGGAATGGTTACCAATCTGTGGGTCAGATGGTGTAACTTATGGTAATAAGTGTCTCTTCGCACAAGCCGTCAAGAAGGATTCCACCCTGACTGTTGCCTTCGAAGGAAGTTGCGAGGAAGGACCTAGAGCTAGGAACGCTCCAATCTGTACTCTGGAATGGTTACCAATCTGTGGGTCAGATGGTGTAACCTATGGAAATAAATGTTTCTTTGCACAAGCCGTCAAGAAGGATTCCGCTCTGACTGTTGCCTTCGAAGGAAGTTGCGAGGAAGGACCTAGAGCTAGGAACGCTCCAATCTGCACTCTGGAATACTTCCCAATCTGTGGTTCAGATGGTGTAACCTATGGTAACCAATGTTTTTTCGATTTCGCCGCCCGCAGAGACGACACATTGAAAATTGTCGGTTACGGTAAATGCAAGGATATCAAAGATATCTAAATAAAACACACAAAATAAAGATATTAGTTTAAAAGCATAAATGTTTTTCTTTCTTAATAATACCTGAAATTTTAAGTAATTTTAATTAAGTTACTTTGAATGAAAACAACTTTGAATAAGTTAGTAAAATTATTTCAAAGAAAACAAAACTTTTTCATTTGAAGATGTAATTGTTGCTATAAACAATTAATGTATTCTCCTACTTGATTCTCATTATTATCCTCGATCCAACAATTAATACTGTTAACTGATTAGATATCTATATTAACAAAAGAAACCAATAAATGAAACATGCATTAAATTCATATTCATTTTAAGTAATGGTGCAAATAGTGTTGCCTATGATATTTTAACAAAAACTTCATGAAAATATCATTGGGATCTAACGAATCCCAATAGAACATTCGTAATAGCGTAACTTCAAATTTTTGTTTACATATTCTTTACAAATCTCATAAGAATCTCATGGAAATGCTTATATAAAATCTCTTAGAAATCCCTTAGAATTTTTAAAAGCAATGCAGTGGCGGATTTGATGTAGGTTGACTACAATTTGAGATTTGAAATCGCGAAATTATTGATAATAATATAATTTAGGGCAGGAAGATCTATGGTCAATAGCCCAGATCAATTTTTTTGTAATTTTCTTGTTATATCATATTATTTTTTGAGTTTGTAGTATGATTTGTTGAAATAAATGTTACTATTTCTTTTTGCATTAAATGCATTTTGAAAATCTTGTTGCCATGGTGATAATTAATCTACATTTATTTGTTTGCTAATTGTGCGAACAATCGTGCGCATTCGTCTTTTTTTTTCTCCCACCTTTAATTGTTTTCTGACATATTTTTATTGTTATTATTATTATTCATCATCTCGAGAAGGATAATTTTCGTATATAAAGGCAGCGGAAATGCACGTTCAATCAATTGTAACAATGAAGACGACCGTCGCTTTTGTAGTGATCTCCGCGCTGTTGTGCGTCTGCTTCGCGGAAGATTTATGTCCATGTACCACAGAGTACAGACCGGTGTGCGCTTCCAACGGTGTCACCTATCCCAACAGTTGCGTCTTCGAATGCGCCAAACGCACAGACACAAAGCTGTTTATCGTCGACGATGGAGTTTGCAATGACAAATGCTTCTGTCCAGAAGAGATTTTTCCCGTCTGCACGACCATCGGTACGTTCTCGAGTCGCTGCACCGTGGGATGCTACAATAGGGAAAATCCCGACAAGACGATCGAAATTCTGCACAATGGATATTGTCCAACGGAATAAAATTATACACTTGGCAAACAACTTATTTCGTATTGAGTCATCATTGAAATTAACAATGGAAATGCAATGATTTGCATGAAACTGTTAATAACATTATCTTTGCTATTATTCGATTTTATTATTACATTTTTATCGTAAATTTGTTAATAAAAGTATTTTTTTAGTATTTGAAATTTATTTTTCATGATGATTGTTTGTTAAAATTGAGATTAATTTGAGTAATTTCAACTTACTTTTAATTGTGCTTTGTTTCCTGACGGTTTTATTATTCTTCTAAATAAATAGATTTAATACCTTTATATGTACGTGGTTTTAAAGATGCGATCTTTGGAGAGGGGAAATTGTCTTTTCTATATAAAGTGGAGAGAATATTCATGATAATTTAGGTGATCTATCATGAAGATCATAGCATTCGTAGTGTTCTCAACTTTGCTGGGTGTCTGTTTTGGAGAAGATCTTTGTCTATGTACCAGAGAGTACAAGCCGGTGTGCGCTTCTAATGGCATCTCCTATAGCAACAAGTGCGAATTCGAATGCGCCCAACGCAGCGACGCAGACTTGAGGATTCTCCATGACGGCGTCTGCAAATCGCGAAGATATCAACCGGGTCAATGCATCTGTCCAGATGTCTACAGTCCGGTCTGCACGAACTTCGGCACGTTCGCAAACAGCTGCCAAGTTGGCTGTTTCCGGATGGTTAATCCCGATAAAGCGGCCGTAATTGTATGCAAAGGCGAGTGTCCTTGCATAGAAAGTTAAGCAATGGAACTTATAGAATTGTATTCTCAAGATCTGCATTAACTTTGAAATAAAATATAGAACATCAATTGATTTTATCTTAACATTTTAATAATTACACCTTTTCTAATCCTACTCACGTTTAATTATACAAATGTTAACATTTTAAGTAAAAATATTGAAACTATATTGATTTTATCTACATTTTCAGGCAATAGCATTTCTTATGGACATACATACCTGATTTATAAAAACTTTAGAAAAAATTTTAATAATTTGTAATTAATTAATTAACAAATCACAGTGTTCTAGTAAGTAACTTTTATTAAAAATTTCTCTTACATCGTTCATACTAAATCTAATTAAAAAAATATTTATTCAATTTCCATTTTTCTTATATATATATCTTCTTAATTTTAACCATATTCGATGTGCTAATTTTCTGTGCTTTTTAAAAATCTAGTGGTCCAAGATGCAGAACAAATAGTATTAACTATATGAAAAAATTTGAAAAATTGCATTATGTAATCATGCTGATTAAGAACAAAAGATATCTTAACAATACTAACAACTAATCCGTTTGATGAATGCAATATTACAAAGATTTAGAGTAGAAAAAAAATGCTGATTAAGAATAGAAGATATCTTATGAATAGGTAACAATAAATCTATTTGTTGAATGCACAATTATAAAGATTTAGAGTTGAAAAAAATTGCAATTAATCTCGAAACAATCACTTTTGTTTCCTGACGGTTTTATTAGTCCAAATGAACAGACGTATTCCTCTCCTCCTGGAGAGGAGGGATGATTTTGTGGTATAAATATTGAGGTAAAGTGTACGGTAATTTAGGTAAGAATTGAATCTGCTACAATGAAGACCATTGCATTCCTATTGTTCTCCGTTCTGCTGGGCGTCTGCTTTGCAGAAGATTTTTGTCCTTGCACCAGAGAGTACATACCGGTGTGCGCTTCCAACGGCATCACCTATGGCAACAAGTGCACCTTTAAATGCGCCCAACGCACCGACGCTGATCTAAGGATCGTCTACGAAGGAGTTTGCAAAGTGGGAAGGATTGAAAGACCTCGTGAATGCATCTGTCCAGCTGTCATCCTACCGGTCTGCACGGATCGTGGCACATTTGATAATAGCTGTCAAGTGTCCTGCTACAATCAGATACATCCTGGAAACCCGGCAACAATCCTTTACCGGGGAGAATGCGGGGAGATTATGTAAAATATAATTACGCAATTGTTACTTTCTCGCATCAGGACGTCTTTGAAATAAACAATTGAAAACAGATAAAAATTGAACTTTTGACTTCCTAAAGTAAAACCGTTCCCCATCCTACTTGTTTTGGAAATTAACAATTGAAGCACAATATAATTACATTGTTTACGAATTCATAGACCACTTGGATAATGTATGCAAAGGCGAGTGTCCTTACGTACAAAGTTAAGCAAAAAAAAATTATGCTCTAGCTCTACATTAGCTTTGAAATAAAACAAAATCAAAAACCAATTGATTTAAAATTTTCTGTGCATTTTAAAAATCTAGAGGTCCAAGATGCAGAGCAAATAGTATTAACTATATAACTTTTATGAAAAATTGCGTTATGTAATCATGCTGATTAAGAACAGAAGATATCTTATGAATAGATAACAATGCTAACATAGTTTCCGTTTGATGAATGCAATATTATAAAGATTTAGAATTTAGAAAAATTGCGATTAATCTCGTTGCATTGTTTCCTGACGGTTTTATTAGTCTAACTAAACAAACGTAATCCTCAAAGTAGAAATTGCATGTGATAATAGACCAATTTGGAGAGGAGGGATGATTTTGTGGTATAAATAGTGAGGTAAA